CTGAAGTATCTGGAATCGCCTCTGTTTCGAACATTACGAATAAAGCTAAAAGTTTACATAAATAGTCGTACATAGTTATATCATATAGAAAATACATAAAAACGAATGACTTTATTATCACGGATTTAATAGTTACACCTTGCGTTTGTGATATACGAGGCACTTTGGCAGCTTTGAAATTCAACCGTGGGAAATAAATTTTATTTAGATATTAAACATCTGTTCAGTGGATATTGAGACAAGAATCGTGTAGGTAGTGTAGGCTTACTTTAATCGTATAGAAATGTAGCGTAATTTTAGCATGTTATTTATGTCTTTTAACTAGCTGTTGAAGAAGGAAACAATTTACACAATCAAAGGCGAAATATATTCATCATTGAGCAATAATGTATTCTTTTTTACGCATCGTTCTTTCGTCAGATTTGTATGGCTACCGAGGAGAAATCCCGTTGCACATATTTTTATAAATCATACCAAGAAAAGAAACATAATTAAACAGGAGAAGAATAAATAAGGTTTAGAATAGATATTCTACATTTTCATCGTAAAATTATGTGTACTACAAACGAAGATTAAAGAAAGAAAAAGACAGAAGAGTCATTTATTATCATTCTCATATCATTAAAACTTCTTCTTATTTGCTTTTTTAATTAGAAGAATATTTCTGCCATCCTGTCGAACATTTCAAAAATGTTTTTTCCAACATTAGTCGTACTGTTTCTTACATAACTTCGTGGATTTATTACCCATTTTTAAAAGGCTTATATCTTTACACTTAGCAGGTTCACTGTTCACTGTTCACCTTTGCGACGCTGTTCAACACATTGTTTCACCTTGGCCATAAAAATATCCAACCAAAATATAAAAACAAAGATACAACTGTTCAGTCACCAAAGTGACATCGTGATAAAGGAATCGACGAAATTGTCGAATCCGTGTCATGAACTTCAAAATTTCTTTCTTCGGAAAAGAAAAAATGACTGAAAATAAGAGAACAAGGAGAAAGATACGAATAGAGTGAAAATAAGACCTCGGTCGTTGACTTGGCGTCCCACGCCAAAACGACCCCTCTCCGGGACATCGATCGTTGGTCTGGTTGCGACGCGTTATTAAACGACACCTCGTATCGATCTCGTTTATCGATGCTATATGGCTCAGTCCGTTCGGAACAGTAGCTGCGGCGTGGCGCGCGTTTCGAGCAGAATCAGCCGGGGAAGCGTGTGCCGTGGCCAAGAGGAATACTAGCAAAAACCGTCTCTACTAGCCGGCGAACTTTATTGAATGAAAATGCCGCTACGTTTTTGCCCCCGTCTCAGCATCTCTCGCGGACCGAATGAAACAATGGCCATTATGTGGAACACTCGCGTGTCCATATACATATATGCATGCGCTCGCGTATGTATTACGTGTTTTTTTAAATTTATACACAGATGCGAACACATCTAAACACGCATAAGGGACAAACACCGCGCATGTACACGCAACTTTAGCGTATCGTATTGTATAAATGAACGAATGTCTATTAATACGTATTTATATGTATATATACATACCTATATACAGTCGGGGGCAGAAATAAGTGGACAGGTAGTGGAAGTGATTATCGATGAAGTTTAATCGAATTAGTAATAACGTTATATATTTAGTTTATATTTATTATACAGCCTTATAGTACGTAGATTAATTAGTAGCGAGTAGCACTCGATAGAACAATTTTTGTAGTCATAGATACGATCAGATTTTCGTTGTCTATAAAACTGCTTGCTTTTCTCCACTTTCTATCTTCCGCTTTACGTCTTATTGTATTAAAAACGTAAGATATTAGAATTGCAAAAAGATATATTGTTATATAGTGAAGAAAATTCCGCTAAAAACGAAATTGTGCATTTTTCAATCAGTTAGGTGATACAAAAATTGTATCGAAGAGGAGGGAATCCATCATTTCTTAGAATATTCTTCAGCGATCTAACATGTATATTCTAGCCATTGCTTTAGCTAAAAACCAAGCAAAAGGACATTTTTCAATTTGTTTCGTCCTGAGAGGTAGGAATCGTAGAAATCCTGTCGCATGGAACATATTAAAGAGTGAATATTTACATTTCCGCCTGGACAAACCGTGTACAAGGAAACTTCATTGATACCTATTTCTACTACCAATCTACTTATTTCAGTCGCCGACTGTATATAAATGTAGGCACGGCACGGAGACAGCTGTTGCTACTATTATATCCAGCGCGGTCGCATTATGCCTTAAGGACAATCGTGGGAATTCCATTAAGTGGCCTTGAATGGTTCATTCATGTCGATCAACTCTTTTCCTAACGGGGTTGACAGATCAATCGGGCTGCACGGGCACGAGCAACCGATTCACCGGGCATTTCTCTTACCGCAGCGAGTTGCTCTTCAGCCTCGTGGACGGCCACGACGACGAAACAGAGACGCCAAAGTCAATTACCTCGCGTATATACGAATGCCGGCGTGTACGAATCGATCTCTTGTTTTCTTGGCCGACGAGGCGACCGCGCTCTCGTTTGCCCCCGGTATCGAACGGATCGAGAATGGTATTCCAACCGCGTCGTGCGGAACTCGTCCTTGTCTTCGCCCCCTATCCACGGACGAGAGACGGACGCGCCGGACAATCGGAATAATTGACTTTTGCTTTTAATCGGAATATGTATTCCGCGGAGTCAGTTCCAAACACGGCTACTTTATATCGCGTGACAAAGCCAGGATGAAAAAGCTGAACAGTCGGCGTGCGACGCACGATTTGTGATTCGATTATGAGCATGGCTTTTGGCGCGGACAAATTTGTCGGCGTTTCGTCAGGTTTTTTAGCGCGGGAACGAAGAAACATGATGGATCGAATGTGACTTTGGCGATTGTTAAGCGAGTTTTATAGTCGTCTTCCGTATCTTCGCATGTCTTTTACGAATGATTAATATGTGATACGATGTTGGATATTGGCTATTAGATTGGCTAATATTTATCGATTTTCGTCTTTTCTTATTCTCGGTTCTTTCGATTTGCACACATTAATGGTTATCGTCTGCGTGTACTTGGATGTTTTCTGGTATGGAATTAGGAAGATGAATGGAAAAATTCAATCTATACAGTTTCCAGCGAAAGGTAAAATGTGAATTGTAGAGAATCGGTGGTGTTCCCTTTTGGCCTCTCGGCACAATTTTTCTTTCACTTTTTCTTCGTTTTTTTGGTTTCTTCTTACATTTACATTTTGTTCTCTGTATGCTTTCATACGACATATGAAGAGCACACACCAGAACATGAATAAGTTTACTATTTTTCTAGCTTTCACATCGCTCGATGATTAAAAAGGAGTATTTTAATATGAAATAATCGGGGACGATAGATACGCATAATTAATATTATAATTAATGTAAATTAGATTAAATGTCGAAGAAGCTGGCCAAGATGCATATTTAATCGCAAAATCAAATGGAAAGACAATTTCTATATGGAATTGGTTGACTCTTTTTTTAAAAACAACGAGAAGTATGACTTGTGCTTTTCACACTGTGGACTTCGTATCTTTTCCTTCCGTCAGTCGTTTTTATCTTCGTTCTTACCTTTTCCCTTGAGTTACTTTACTTTTTTGTTCCATGTATTTCTTCTGTTCTTTGGAACGCACCGCGGTGCATTTAATCAAATTTAGTTATCGCGGCAAAAGAGTTTAGAGGTAGAGATCGAAGAAGGTAATTGGTACAATGTTTAATGAGGAGAGATGCCCGTGGAAAAGATCGGTCGCATTGTTTACCGATAAAGAAAGCCGAGTGAATATTCCTCATTCAGATTGGCGCTGCTTTTGATCCCAAGTTGAGATGGACTCGCGTTTTCTGGAATGAAGTTTTAATTACCGCTTCCTTTGCACTTGTACTCGTTTCTTCCTGGGTCAACACTTCAATTATAATTTAATGACGTGAGAAGTATTATTAATTCATCGAAATTAACAAGAAATTCGAATCTACAGCGCGGTAGCAGGTGCTTCTACAAGGCGTATTATAAGTAGCTGCGATTGCTTTTCTTATTTATTTCTAATACATTATGCTCATTACTGTTTTATTATTAATACGATATATTAGCTATTAATTCTTTTATATAGCGTTCTATACGCATAATTGATTCTAAGTTTAAAGTCTCGCATTATACCGTACCGGTTAATCACTGTGCAAATAGAATTCGAAAAGCTAACTGTCGAGTCTAGTGAAAGAAACGAAATTATTCCGTAAACCGTAAGTTATAAACTATATTGAAGAAAGAAATTAGAGAAATATATTCTACATCGAAGATTCTGTTTGATATGCCTTTATATTTACAGCTTGCAAATACGTCGAATTAATATTTTCAGTTACTATTGTTGATTTATCTCTTCTGCAAAATTCATAAATTCTCTTGATCGAAACTTTATCATTTTGTCAATCTTTCTCACATTTGTATCTGTAGGAAAAATTTAGAAATGAAAATGCCAGTTGACAATAGTAGTTTTGCCAAGTACGAAATATTAAAAGAATAGATCAAAAATGGTAATAATAAAAACGATAGAACTTAACCGAACTGAAACGATTTAATAGTTAATAGAAAATAATCTAGATATTTATGCATTTATGTAGAATTTATATGTACAAAAAAAATATATATACATACAAAGGTAGATAAAAAAAATCAAAATCTATACGACGTCGCATCACTCGACCGCGCCGAGTTTTACACGGTCCATAAAAGAAGTTTATCGATATAAAATAATTCCCGGTCGCTTTCAACATCGAGATTTATCGGAGAAAAGCAGCCTGTACACCGTGATGTGCATGTTCACATGACAAACAAGTCATTCGTTGAAGCGAAACGATACACGACCGCGTTATTTCATTGGTACTATTGCGCGCGAACTCGCACCGGATGCGTAGCGATTTTACCGTTAATCAAAAGCCGCCTGTGTATGTTATAAACGGTATTAATGATTAATAAATTCGCTTTTGGATTTATAGGATGCTGGATAATTATGACAGGGGTGAGGTGACACCACCACCGGTCAGCAGTTATGGCGGATCCCCTGGACTCTTGGCACTTCATTCCTCGCTTTATGCGACTCCTACGTCGAGGGCCTACGACATCGAGTCGAACATCGACGGCAACGACAGTTCCATGCCCATTGACACCCAAATCATTTCGGTACGTTTAGGTTCGGTCGATCCAGCACGGACAGGAGAGACCGTTCCTTTGGAAATAGGCTCGCATATTTTTCATTTACGGAACGCTGTTTCACCTCGAACGTGACACGCGCACACCTACGTTCTCACTATTTTATAGCGTTCCTCGGGTTAAGCCGGCTTCACACCACGGTTTATGGTTTGACGCATATGCTAACGTTATAACTGCCAAACTTTAATATTCCTCTAAATATATTACTTGTAAATGATACGTTCGTATATTCACAGCAGAAGTTTTAACGTGCACTTAAATATACTGTGTCTATGTACATACATGTATAATTAAGATTACAGTAGTATGATGGAAAAGAATGGATATACGTTTATGCTTGGTTTATGACACACCTTCGAAATCGTTAATTTTAATATATCTGAAAAAGTGGATTACAAAAAGTGTACACTATGCATATGCCATTGTGCATATACAGTACACGTGTACTTTAAATACACGTGACATAGAAATTTCTAAACATTCAGCATTATTCATTATTTCACTGAATATTAAATACGCGTCATTTAATGACGTATGAATGGCTCGCTAAATATTCGTGTACAGCTACCAATGTACGTAAGCGATGTGCGTTTATTAATTAAATAATGCTATATCGATATACATTACGATTTCGTAAAAGCATGACGCAGTTGAAGAAATTAGATTTTTCAGCAAGTCGGTTTGAAATAAATCGGTTCAAGTAAATAGTTAATTATTTCACCAGTTCGAGATAGGAAAATTTCTTTATTCTACAACGTACGTAATGTTCTTTGAGCCATGGCATTGTTCTTATTAAGGAATTATAACAAATATATTACTAGAACAATACCTACAGCTCTGTTTTTGAATTAAATTTGCAGATATTTCAAAATTGATATACTTTGAAACGTGTCGTTATCCCAGTAAATCAACGATATGTAATTGCGAGTGAAACAACGAATATTTGGCATTCGGAATACAAAGGACGTGTGGAGCTGGCTTTACTCGCAACTCGAAGAGAAATGATACGAAAAGGAAATAGTCTCGACCGTAACCATTCGGAATTGTTTTACCTGTTTTACTCAACCTGAAGTTATAAAAGATGATTTGTATCTATCTACATTTTGTTCGATTGATTTAAACGAAAAAATTCATATCAGTTACGGTTTTTAAAGAAATATTAAGAATTTATAATATACGTACGTCGTATATCGATTCGTACAACAATGTATTTCTTACAATAGGAGTTGCACAAAACTAAAGTCGATGGACTCCATCGGTATTAGTTATATACTTGATTTTTAAAGAGTTAAGCGGTAATCGTGTATTCTGATATTAGAATTAAGACATTTTCAGAAAATAGAGACTTTCGTTGAATATTCTTAAAATTCATATGCATCTCTTATTTATACTACGTTTCTCTTATTTTTCTGTCTTCTTATGGCGACCTAGCAATTGTAACACAGACATCATATGGTCTCACGAAGGCTCAATATTTATCACCGTATCCTACGTTCATTAAGTTATCAGCCGTTATTATCGCCCGGTTGCGTGCATTATTCATTTTCATTATATTACAATGCCGATTCTAACGAGAGTCTGGCAACCTTTGAACAACAGCTTTTACTCGGCAACAATACCAGGTACACCGCGTTCGAGTGGCGTTCATTAGCTGCCCGATTAATATCTCCCAGTAATTACGTATTAATGGAATCGGAAAATATCGAGCGCGACTTTCACCCGTTTTCGTTAATAAGCGCGTAATTATCGGGAAGAATCGATCCATGGATCATTTTCGTTGATTCTCTGACTGATTGCACGTTCAGATTGAAATCAGGAAATTGTGGACCTTAACTGAAGAATGGCAAAGAAAAGTTGGATTTAAAATTTGAAAGGTGGAATTTGTAAACAATAATTTGGAAATTGGCAACCTAGATGCCAACTACGAGCAAGAATCGAGTATCGATAGAATTATTAATTAATAGTCGGCGGATTTTTATGCACGTGCATCGAAATTTAAAATTGCAGATGTGCAAGATATATACATATGTAAAAATGTATAAAGTATTCAGAATAGCGTAATCATTGTAATTAGATTTGGGAAATTTAAAAATACACAGAATGCACATAATATTCATGTAAAATTATGCAAAGTATGAAAATCATAGTATTCGTTATAGTATTTGCTTAATAGATGAAACGAGTCTCTGTATGTATTTCCTTTTACCTTCCTCAGCTATATTTATAAAAATACGAATTTACGCAAATATCACAATTATAAAATAGTGCAATTAATATCGGTAATCGAGAATCGATGACTACCGATCCAAGATCGAGAATGAAAGACCACGAGTTGAAGGTTAAATGGTGAAGTTTAAAAAATACAAATCGAATATGAGAAATCGGAAATGGATTTTCAGATACCAGGAATGTTGAGCGGCCCAGTGCAACAGCGACTCGAGGACATGTCCTGGTTGGCTTCCGGTCCGTCGCTGGAGTATCAACAAGGCATCTCGTCGATTCCCGCGGGAGTGAAGATGTGCCATCCAGGCAGCACGGCCCAGAGAAGCCTGAAGGAGCAACGGATACGTCGCCCGATGAACGCGTTCATGGTCTGGGCAAAGGTCGAGCGCAAGAAATTGGCCGACGAGAATCCTGATCTCCACAACGCCGATCTCAGCAAGATGCTCGGTAAGTTCACGTTCGACGTTCGGAAAATTTTCTTCCGACTTCTTGCTTTCGAGACACGAAACTCGTCTTTTCCAGACAAATATTTCACGAATTGTATCTCACCGTGAATATATTTAAAACAAAAACATTACGAATAAGTAAAGTTTCAAGTGTTCAAAATTCTTCAAACAATTTCAAGTTTTGGCATTTATTTTATTGCTCATAATCGGACACATTTTATCGAATAATTTTATCGAAGGAAAAATATTACTCATTTAATTCTTGAATGTACGGTGTTGCCATTTGGGAACAAAGGTATCTATATTTTTCAATATAGAGACAAATGTTTTCGGATGGATTTACATTACTAAGGTATGAAGTATCAGCGTAAGCTGAATAGATAGGCCGTCTGTTTGCAAACTATGCCATTTTTTATTTTATTCTCTTATTATCTTTATAACCTGAGTATTTTAGCCATTAGTTTGTGTCTTTTTTATATATGTAACATTTAGTATTATGCTACGGTGTTTTAGAAATTGTGCTATACAACCAGTAAAATAACTAATTATTGCAATTTTTTAAATATCTAATTCACTTATATATTTTACATATGTTATAATTTCTTTTCGCAAGTGAAAGATATAAAAAACATTAAGCTAATTTTCCAAATTACTTTTCTATAATTTTCTATATGAAATAACAACAAAGTGTTTTTTTTATATTTGAAAATTCGCCCATTTAAAGCCTTTCGATATTTTAATAATTACTAGTTTTCTCTAAAGCTTCATCGGCACTCGTAGCATGTGGGCGCCAAGATATTCAAGTTTTCATTTTTAGCAAACGATTTCTCTTGTCTCTTTTTAATCACAAGAATAAAACTGTTTCGCGTAGGGAATCGTTAAAGACTCGATTGAATTCAACGAATCATTGGATATAATAATAAATCATTAAATTGGTATTAATTCGTTTGAGAACATTCTGAGACATATACAGAAAGAATTTAGAAAGGCGTTGCCTTTGTATCGAACGTTCCAATCCTTCCTGCATACCGCAATAAAGGCATAATTAATTACTTTCGAGATAACGGATCAAAGAGAAAAGTTGAAATCACAATCTCATATATTATACGCGTATAAACAAATAAATAAACAAATAAACTCGGACAGAAAGCCGATGATATTTCCATTGTTCGACTTGACGATCGAATGACGCTTAATAAAGTGGGTTAATGAATTATTAATAAAGCGAAGAAGCGCGTTCCGAATAAAGACAGAAGCGTCAACGAAGCTGTAGAAAAACCTTTTTCACTTGGAAAGGGGTCTTATTCCCAGACAGTTCTGGGAATAAGAAAGTCGGAAAAGTCTCTTCGTGTACCGCTGTTATTATTAATTTAATTACTCGTCACGTGTTCAACGTGAATGGTGGTACGAACTGGCAGAGAAAACGCAGGCAATAATCGCGAATTTTCTTTGTCACGAAACGTTTTCGTTTACTTCCGTTTATTTCATCAGAAGACACCTTCGTTTCAAATGAAAAATATATGTATATTACAAATCATTCAACGAAGAAATGCAAGATAATTACAAATTAGAAAAGATGTGAAAGTTCAATGAAAATATATTGTAAAATCACAAGTATACCAATTACAAATATATTGGTACTATGAAGGAAATTGATGTCGATTCGAATAGTTGTAGATATTTTTGAATATATCGTGAATATATCATAAATATGTTGTCTGTCTTATACAAACATTCTTAAATTTCATTACCACTGTTGTGAGACACGACTATCGTGATTATATTGGTATAATTTGAAACAAATATTAACGTGTACATAAAAGATCTTTACATTACATTTCGCAAACATCACGAAAGTGCTTAAACGTTATATTAATAAATTTCAATATTCTCAGTAGAACCATATCTAATTCTTAACGGTTTGTGTTATTCATCTTGCATGCTAATTTGTTATCGAATATATGTTTACAATGAATCTCGGAATTTCTATTTACATTTCCAGATTAGTTACGCCCTTTGCCAATATAATCATGATATGTCACTGCAGCGTTAAATGTGAAATCTTTTATGTAACGGATAATGTGTATGCAATAGTAGTTTTCATCTACTTTCGTGATTCACTATATATACATATGTATAGATCCACATTAGTGATCGATAGTTTTAATGTTAAACGTAAAACACTTTTTCCTTATTTTGTATCTCATACTTTTTCGTGGATACTATAATAACAAATAAATCTTAGATAACAATAAGCACGCGATAAATACATATTAACAAATTAAGTTGTAGTAGTAAAAAGTGTACTAACATCTAAAAACAATAATGAAATTGTAATAGCAACTGTAAGTTGGACAAAGATCGAGGTTCTACGTCTTTATTCATATTCCGGTGGCTGATTTAATTAAACATAGTGAAGGAACACGAGTTCGAGTCAAATCCTTGGGGTCGGCTATTTCCCTTGGTCGTAAGTACGCAGTTTTATGCCCATCGGAGAAAATTACAAAGATATCGAGTAGCGCAATTTAATACGTCGTAAATTCACCGTTGCGACTCGACGCATGCTCGCTTCCTTACGTAGGTGCCAACGTAGTGCATTAATATTAAAAGGCATATGCGCGATTGGAAGTCAAGAGGTTGTACCTTCCATCGTCGTCGCTATTTTTCGATTAAAGCTTCTCCTCGAAAACAAACGACACGTGTGTCTTGATGCTTTCCGCCAACAACTTGTTTAAAACTTGAATTACAAACGTGGAATGAATAATTTACCTTCGCTATCCGAGAATCTATAAAGCGTTAAGGTTGCTTTTACGCTGTTTGCTACAAAATGATTTCTATTGATTCTCCCTTCAATCGTTACTCGCGATGAATGTATAAAAGATACAACTTTTTTTTTAATCATCGCGATCCTTTTATATCAATAAGTAACGCACGTGTCTAGTAGAAAAGATAATTCATTTATTTTTGGTCATTTCTTTCTCGTGTTTTGATATAAAATTATATTTGTAATTTACTTGCTGACACTTGTTAATATAATATTCGCTGATAATAGATCTTTGGTAAAATCGTAGAAGAAACGCGTAATTTACATTCCCTCCATAGCGTAAGCCGTTGATAGGTGTTAATGTCACTTCACAGCTTAGAATTCAAAATCTTTTACAGTCGTGTATGTTTATTGACTTTAGTACAGACGTACAAATTGCACTTTTATGCATAAAGACTGTCTTGCACGGTTGCCTTAACATATTTATTTACGATATTTCATACGATTATTCTTTAGAAGCCTATTCAATATACAGTACGGTACAATATACGGAATACATTCGTCCGATCCGAGCTTGCAGTAAATTTTGATTGTCCCTTTTATTTAATCGATAACTCGGGTATAGATAAAGTCCGTCTTCTTGATGTCTCGCTGCCATAAACATGATTAATTTCGACATTCCACATTTTGCGCTATCAAACATTCGTAACAAATTATTATTGGTTACAAAAATATAAAAGAACAGCCGAGTCAGAGACAGTTGTCGAGGACAGCATTTTCATTATGAAGCAATTCATATGATCGAATATGGCTTGGACAATAAACGTTTAAAGCCCCGATGAAAGCTTTAGACCATGGTTACAGTGGATGCGTATTCAGACAAAGTGACATTCTGACGAATGAAACACCGCAAGACTACAATGCGTATACTCGTAAAAATCTACATACATATTTGATTACATTGACGTATTAAATTCATCGGAATATCAATTCTGAATACGCATCCAGCGTGACCATAGTTTCGCTCGAATCGCAGTCGCATCGTTCGAAATGCGCTGGTATCCGTACCGCGCCAAAACGTGGCGCGCCTAAAAGAGGGCCGGTGCTGATCGAGAGGGCTTGTCCCGGTACCCAGCAATCTGTCAGCGTCTGCGGCCGCGCGTTATATCGTGGGTAGGTACACCTTGAATTATCGGCAATTGGCATCCGCAACGTTACAGGCATTCGAACGAGCGTCGTGCAGAAAATTGTAAACTCCGCTCGTGTGTAAGCCACCTACCCGCGCCCGTTTCACCACGGCCATTCGCGCGTGTCTTCGTACGCGGCACACGCGTCTCCTCTTCTTCCACCCCTCCATCAACCGCTCCTTTTTCTTCGTCTCGATCCTCCATCCCTATCAATTTCTTCTGCCTCTTTATCTCTTTCTTCTCTCTTCGCCGTTACTCTCCCTCTTTCCCTCTTTTCTATCATTTCACGCGCGAGAGAAACGCGTAAATCAGCTGCATGTCGTGGCGCGCGCCAAGCTTATCTTTGTCGCGCGCGCGCGCGCCCGCAGAACCAAGGAAAACCCTGTGGTGGAGAGTCGGAGCCGATCGATCGATCGAACATTAGGCGCGCGATGTTATTGGCATGACGCGGCTTCGATTACTATGCGCGTCGAGTGTTTGCCGCCCCCACTTTTCCTCGTCTTTTTTTCCAGACATCCTACATATTCATGCGCGCGTGCTGTGTGTCGATCCGTCCGTCTGTCCGTCCATCCGTTAGCCCATCCGTACCCCAGCACGGAGCCGTGGTTTGCGCGAGCGAGCCTGTTTTATGTCCGAGTTATGCACGTGGACGCGCGTCCTCCTCCTCCTTTTGCTTCTTCTTCGTCGTCTTCTTCGTCTTCTTCTTCTTCGCCTCTTCTTCCTCATATTGTTGCTCCTTCTGGCCAAAGTGTGTGCGTACGTATTCCTCGAGGATACACGAGCGCACGCGTCCCGACGGGCGCACACCGGCTCACCTACCGCGGCCCTACGCCGTGTTTTCTTCTGTAGTTGGCGAGAAGCAGCCGATAGAGGGGCGCGTTCCTATGTACTCGCGTACACACACGTCCATCATGCATCTGTGTGGGCCTTATATCCGGTGGAACGCGTGCCCGCGCATCTTTATTAATCATTCCCTAACCGTTAACCCCTCTTTACCGCTCGTATGTCAACAGTGGAAATCGACGCGACCGCGCCGAGTCGCCTCGTTTC